AAGATGAAATCTCAAATCTTAACATGGTATTAGAGCCCATTAAATTTACGAACAATTCAATCCGATTAAGACTCTAAAAATGGACATAAAGATTTCAAGAATAATCTTCTTAAATGAGCCATCATCTTACGATGTCATGTTAAAGGGTATAATCCCACACCAATAAGGATGAAAACATAAATTAATCTATAAGATCTTGGATTACTCATCTTAACAATGTTGACAGTTTAAGATGGAACCCCAAGACCTTATAAGTTGATCCATGTTTTCATCTTTATTCAATGTAAGATTCTATCTCGTAATATGTCCTCACAAGATAGTGACTCGTTTGAATAAATCAATATTAAAAGTCGTATAGAGTCTTTTAGCATTTTCATTCATATAGAGGGCTACCATGATCAGAACATTAAGTACTGAATTCGTTATCCACTTATTTCTGATACTCTGCGCCATAAATTGGAAAGAAGCCCAAGGAGCAATTTGGAGTCTGGATATCTTTGACAGGCCCAAGTAATTTCCAGTTACTCATGTCACTGCTTTTCAGGCCCAACATACTACTCAAGTCAGAAAATAGTCAGGCCCGAGCAAATTCAAATGCCCATAAGAGCATCTATTCATTTAAATTTATGACACCAAATTAATTTTTTCATTAATTTTTGTTCAATTTATGCCCATATTTATTAAACTAGTAGTAAGCATGTGTTTTGCACGTTTTATATACCAGATGAATTATATGCGTACTATATTTTCAAATTTGTTGAGATAATTGATATATTATTAAAGAAAAAAGTATAACTATTAAATATAATGAATATATGAATATTTTTTTTTTTATGAAAATGTGTATATAATGCAAAAATATTGAATAAAATGAAATAATTACAATAACGCTTCTTCGAATACAATATTTTTTGTCAATGTCTTAAAGCTTTTCATCATTTTATTTGTAGTTAAAATAATTATGTAAAACATCTAAAATTTTTCATACCTGTACAAATTATTGGAACACATAATATGACAAATTAAACACAAAAGTAGTATAGATCTAACCCTGAATGAAGAATTGAACAGTATGTCAAAAATAAAATTTATTGAAAAAAAATCATTTGATAAATAACTGAAAGAAACTATCATGGAAAAGAGTTTTGACATAAATATAAAATTTATAGAACGGTAATAATTTTGAGGCGTAGTAATTCAAAAATTCAAATTTTGAAAGAAAAGTGATTTTTCTGCGACAAATAGATGAGAAGAAAAGAAACTAAATTTAGGCCCTGTTTTACATGAAAATTTTTCCATTTTCCACATTTTCCCCTTGTTTTATTGGTATAATTTTCCTGGCAATTGAATTTTCTCCCCCTTAACGCGACCTATTTTCCAGTGTTTTGTGGAAAACAATTCCTTTGGTTTTGGTGGGAATTGGGATTTCCATTTTTTTTTTATAATGGAAACAAATTCTATCCCTTTAATTGAGAATTTTTATGAAAAATAAAGTCAAACGAACACCAAAAGATCCAAAATTTCAGTATTTTCCAAGTTGAAATTTATACTAATCAAACACATTTAATTGAAAATTCACAGTGAAATAAGTACTAGACAATTCAATTTTCTGAAATTCGTTTTCTTTCCATCTAAATTTCATTCTTCCAATCAAACGGACTCTTAAAGATTATGTAATTTACTCAATAAAAATTTGGAATCTTGATTTTTTGATTCCACATAAATATAGAAAAAGAGAATCAAACACAAAATGGAATTAGTGGATTACCATAAGTTTTTATGCTTATACAAAAATAACATGAAATAATAATAAATTACCCAACACTAAATTAATATTTTTGTATGAAACACAATTAATCTACTATTATATTAATGTAGACCTTTATGTACTGTAGTATTTTTTTTATGCATATGTATTATATATATTTAGCTTCAATTTTAAGTAACTAAACTTAAATTGATTTCTATAAAGTACTCTAATGTAAAGTAATGAAATTTATATTTTAAAGGAGATAAAATGAAGTAGAGTTATATAAATATTTTGGACTTATAATATAATTAGTAATTAGTAATAATTATTGTACATTTAAAATTAAAAGGGTGGTTGTCAAAAATAAAATATAAAATGGCAGAAATGGAAATTAAAAGTTTTGCATACCAAAGTTTCAATTATTGATATTATCGTTTTAATACTATTTTTATAATTTTAACATTTGAAGCATTTCTATTTTATTCATAGGCATAAATTTTAGAATTTGTTACAAATGAATGTAAATAATGCAAACCAATAATGTTCTTAATCACGTTTATGTTGAGGATTTAGAATTTCAACAGTTGTTATTCAAATAATTAGTTATTTATTATTCAATTGTGATGAACAAAAAATATACCATTAATTATTTCTTTAAGGGCGAATGTGATTTTATTTGTCTGATTATTTGATTTCTTTAAAAAAAAAAAAATTGACCTCGATTTTCCCTTTTGGTTATATGATTTCATTCTCATTGCAAGTATTTTCAGTTTTTTCTTATTTCAATGAAGGTAAATCAAAACAAGAACAAATGTTCAATAATGATTAAAAAATATTATTACATATCATTGTTTTGTGAAAAAAATATTTATATAATTTCTTTTAATTGTATGTGATAATATTTTAATTGATTGTACACTTATAATTATAAATAATTGTGTTTAGTGGAAAATAATTGACTTAATTTTCAAAACCAATAATAATTTACAGAAAATAAATTGAATCATTTGGTATCCTGTACTTAATTCTATATGTAGTATTATAATTTCTTTTAATTGTATGTAATAATGTTATTATTAATTGTGTTTAGTGGAAATTAATTGACTTAATTTTTGAATGCAATAATAATTATTAATTATCTTATTTAGAGGAAATAAATTGAATCATTTGGTATTTCATTTTTATCTAAACTTAGGTAT